TGATTTTCATGTCTTTCCTTTAGTTTTGACTGATTGTTTTGTTTTTGTTGGTTTCCGCCCCCCCGCCCCCCGCGCCCTCTCTGGGGGTGGGGTGGAGGCGGCGCTGGGGGTGCGAGGGCGCCGAAAACCAATAAAAAAAATAAAAAACAATAAGCACCGAAGGAAAAACCAGGGAAACCAGAGCCCCCAGACAAAAAAAACAACGAAATCAGACCCCGAACGGTGGATTACAATAGGGTCCCTTTTGTGGCGGAATATAGCTTGATTCCATTTGTGATCGATTACTAACTGATTCCTTTTGTGGCGGATGACAGAAAAAATCCTTTTTGCGCCGAAATACAAATGGATTCCTTTTGTGGGGGATTAAAAGTTGAATCCTTTTCTGGCCCGTTACAAAAGGATTCCTTTTGTGGGGGGCTTCTGAAGAGGAAACCCTTTGTAATCCGCCACATAAGGAATCAATGTGTAATCCCCCACAGCAGGAATCCTTATGTGATCCGCCACAAAAAGAATTGATCTGTAATCCGCCACAGAAGAATTCAATGTATAATTCACCGCACAAGAAATCCCTTTGCATTCAGCCACAAAAGGAACACATTCGGAATCCGCCACACAAGGGATTTGTCAGGGGAGAGAGAGAGAGAGAGAGAGAGAGAGAGTGAGAGAGAGCGCATGCTTCGCGATTGCAAACGCTTACCCCTGCCCACAAGGGCTTTTTGAGGTTATGGAAAGGGGGGCAACATGTGTATTTGTTGAACCTGTTGGGCGGGCCGGAGAAACCAAAACATGAGGTCCCTGGGTCGCCTGGCGCAAAGCACCGCTGTTGCAAATGTAAATGTCAATACCACGTCTACCTTTTTTCGAGGGCACGCGTTTCCCAAAAATGGGGGGGGGCATTTGTGGGTACCTTTGGGGTGCCTTTCGGGTGCTTTTCGGGTGCCCTGACAATCAAGCCCACGGGTCGCTTTGAGCAAATCCTTGTTTTCGTGATCGCATATTCTAAAAGCACATGCACCACTTTTCCATGGTATACTTTTCTTGCAATTTGGTGTGGGCGATTTGCTGATGCCTTTGGGATGCCTTTCGGGTGCTTTGCGGGTGCCTTGGGGGTGCCTTTCGGGTGCTTTTGCCCCGTCTGTCCCCTTTGGTCTTCTTGTGTCCCCTTTGTCCTTTTTTGTCGCTCTTGTCCCTTTTGTCTCCTGTTGTCCCTTGATTATATGTTATCTCTCTTGTCCCCTTTGTCCTTGTTTGTCAATGTTTGGTTCTTTGTCCCTTTTTGTCTCCTTGTGTCCCCTTGGTCCCCTTTTGTCCCTCTTGTCCCCTTTTGTCCCTTTTTGTCCCCTTTGTCTTCTGTCGTCCCTCTTGTCCCTTTCTGTCCCCTTTTGTCCCCGTTGTCCCCTTTTGTCCCCTTTTGTCCCCTTGTATTCCTTTGTCCCCTTTTGTCCCTCTTGCCCCTTCTGTCCCCTTTTGTCACGTTGCCCCCTTTTTTCCCCTTGTCTCATTCTTGTGCGCCTTTTGTGCATTTGGCTATGTGTCGTCCCCTTTGTCCCCGTTTGTCCCCTATTGTCCCCTGTTGTCCCCTTTTGTCCCCTTGTGTCCCCTGTGTCCCCTTTTGTTCCCGTTGTCCCCCCTGCTGTTCCTGTTGTCCCCTTTGTCCCTCTTGTCCCTTTTTGCCCCCTTTAGTCCCTTTGTTCTCTTTTGTCTCTCATGTCCCTTTTGTCCTCTTTTGTCTCTTTTTGTCCCCTTTGTCCCCTAGTGTCTTCTTGTGTCGCCTTTGTCCCCTTTTGTCCCCTTTTGTCCCTCTTGTCTCCTTTTGTCCCCTTTTGCCCCCTTTGTCTTCTGTTGCCCCTCTTGTCCCTGTTGTCCCCTTTTGTCCCCTTTTGTCCCCTTTTGTCCCCTTTTGTCCCCTTGTGCCCCCTTTGTCCCCTGTTGTTTCTCTTGTCCCTGTTGCACCTGTGTGTCCCCGTTGTCCCTTTTTGTCCCCTTGCGTCATTCTTGTATGCCTTGTCTGTGTTGTCCCCTTTGTCCCCGTTTGTCCCCTTTTGTCCCCTTTGTCCCCTTTGTCCCCTTTGTCCCCTTTGTCCCCTTTGTCCCCCTGTTGTTCCTCTTGTCCCTTTTGTCCCCTTTTGTCCCCTTTTGTCCCTCGGAGTGCTTGTTGGAGATCCTCCAGGGCCTCAGAAAACAAGAAAAAAAGGAGACGCGAGGGGGACACCTGGGAGACACCAGGGAGACACCAGGAAGATATCGTGAGTGCAGCGTCCTCCGACGCCCAGGAGGAGCACCAGAAGGAGCAAGAGGAGGAGCAGGAGGATCACAGGAGGATCAGTAGGAGGGGGGGGGGGAGGAGGAGGGGAGATAGAAGGACGAGGCGGAGGACGAGGCGGAGGAGGAGGAGGAGGAGATACAGCGTTCTCCGAATGCCCTGGGGAGCTCTTTCTAAGTGTCTTGCGGATTGCCTTTCGAGTGCCCTCGGGGTGCTCATCGGGTGCCCTTCGGGCGCCCTCGGGGTGCTCATCGGGTGCCTTTCGGGAGCCCTCGGGGTGCTCATCGGGTGCCTTTTCGGGAGCCCTCGGGGCGCCCACCGAAGGCAGTTAATAAGCAGCTCAAGGCACCCGGAGGACGTCGAACGCACAATATCTCTCGGTGCCCCTCTGGTGACTCCCTCGCGTTTCATGTTTCTCTCGTTGTTCAGCACCCGGAAGACTCCCCGTAAGCACCCCGAGGACACCCGAAAGACATGCGAAACGCACCCGAAAAGATCGCAGTGTGTCTTGGGCAGCATACCCTTTATCATCGTTGCGAACATGTTGGTTCGAAATTGATTCCGGAAGGTTCCGTGGAATTCCGCCGCGTAGTTCCACCGTTTGGGCATACACCTGATTATGAAGGGAACTACAAATCAAGACACACGCCACAAAGCTTGCATGCACAGATTCATAAACACCATCTTGGCCAACACAGCGTTTTCAATACTAGCATCTGGCTTTAACCTCCCCGTGCGATTGTACTGCTGCGACTGCTGCTTGTGCTCCTGGCGGTGCTGTTGCTGGTGCTGCTGCTGTTGGGCGTGGTGTTGCCCTTGCTGATGCTGATGCTGCTGTTGCTGCCACTAGTGCTCTCCGTGCTCCTGATGCTGCTCGTGCCTCTGATGGTCGCCGTTCCCATTTTGGCTCAAGCAAGGCAAGACTGCTTCTACATTCAAGGTTGCACCACAGTTCGTTTTACAATTCGGATAACATACCTGTTCTGAGATGTTGTCTCTTGAGGTGCAGCACTTCTTCCTGATTGGGTTTGCGAGAACGTGAAACCTGCCCGCGTTGACAAAACGTGCGTCGGCGGCTGTTCGGTGCCAGCATCTCAAGGTCGCGATACCGATGCAGGCCGCGACCATATTGATTGTGTTCGTTACCACGGTTATCGGAGAGGTCAACCAGGGTGCAACTACTACACTTGAGATCGAACCCTCGTACAATGGCGCCGTACCGACACATGTACTTTTCGACCTGGATCATGCACCCGACGGAATGGGCTGTTTCTCGTGGCACACAAATACTACTTGGGACGGCGGTTTGCCGCGCAACGACATGGCCCCCTACCTCGTGACCCCGCAAACCGATGACAGCTCCAAGGGCGTGGACCATCCACCGAACCACAACATTGACGTCGAGAGCACGACCGTTGACATCGAGATCACGCACAACGAGACGTTGCACTTGCTTGCGTCTCGTCGGCGCGATGTCCACCAGAGCTTCCCAGATGGCGGCGACCCTGCGGAAGGTCCACAAGGCGGACGGCGGTGGCAACCGACGCCGGCGCGCTTGCATATCAACCACGGCAGTGTTCGGGAGGGCAAAAGTTCATCGCCGACACGCCGCCGCAGGGGGGCCATCTGCGCGGCTCTCGTTCGCTGTCTGCCCAGACGCGTTCAAGTTTTCCGAGAGTGCCCCGCTGATGGGGCCCCGTGGCGGCATGTCTTCGGCATTTTTTCCTGCTCGCCCAATCCCCCCCCCCAGGCGCATATTCCTTTGGAAGTGGAACCAGAAAGCTGTCATCACGCGTTCGGCTCAGCTCGCCTACGTTCTTCTTGCGGGCGGCTTAATGCGGGCAGGGAAGGGCGCATCCAACTCAACCATCAAAACGCTGGCGCGCATTACTTTTCCCTGGGCTGCTACTCGGTGGCGACGCGGCGCAAGTGTTCCGCGCCAGCGAAGCTGAGCGCGGGAAAGGAACAACCAGAGTCACGGCATCGAGCGGCCCGAGCCACCCAGACGAAGTCTACACCTCGGTTGACATCGAGGAGGAAGGCGGGCTTGTCCACGCGGCTGCTAAGTGGGTTGCGACGGGCGACTGCATCGACGACATACATGACTTCCATGAGTACGCGCGCGCTGGCTGTACACGATATGCACGGCGGCACGACCGCGCACTTGCACGCAGCTTTGCAACCCGACACTCACGCCATCGAGGGCTTGAGCGACAGCTTGCATGGCAAGGAGTCGCTCTTCCACGTGCACCTCGGGTGGGTTGAGCTGCCGGCGCAGGCGCCGCTCCCATGGGGCGACCTGCATCACGGAACGTTGAACTTGCACGAGACCTTGTTGTACCATGGCCACTGTCCAGGCGGGGTGCAGAATCCGTCATGTTCAGACGTTGCTCCATCTACACATGGACAAATGATTCACGTTTGCCCCCTCGAGGACGCTACCCGCGGAGAGGGAGACGGAGTCTCGGGCGGCCTCGGGATATCTGATTAGGCAGCAGAAGAGCTCCAGAAGGCTACGACTCTGCAGTTACGATTAGTCAACGGGGGAGGTCTGCGAGGGGGCGCGCCTTCGCGCGTCGAGGAGGAACCCTGCAGCGCGGCACTCGATCGCCCAGCGTCGGCGTCCAGCGGCAGGGCCTGCATCCTGTACCCCACCCTGGCTCAGAGACGGGCGGGGCCCACGGACTCGGGGCAGCTCCGCGCAACGGCCACGCGCCCCCCGATTGTCAACGCCGGCATGCCGCTGCTGCAGACGACCATTCGCGGGGGGAAGGTCGAGGCCACCAAGTTCGCCAGCCTACGCGATGAACGGGCTGACTACGTCGACTGGCGCCACTGCACCGTCGTCGAGGATGCGGACACACAGCGCGGAACTTACGCCGCAGACAGATGCACGGGAGAAGACTTTTCCCGCATGCTCGACGCGCCCCCCGCGGAGTTGGGGGAGGCTGGCGGGCACGCGGGCTTGGCCTCTGAGAGACCAATGGTCTTCGCTGGCGAAGTGCAGATCAACCACCGCATGGAGCTCGCGGCTTGGACCCGCGTATCTGGAATGCATGAGATTCCAAATGCTTCGGTTATGCAATCAGGTCCGCCGCCCGACTTGCCCTGGCGGTTCCTGGACCGCGAGGCAGTTCAATGCCGCGGTGGCGCGGGCCAGCTTCATCGTCTGCGCGGCCGACATGCGCTCGAGCCGCCCTCCGCCCGAACCAGCGACGGGGCCATCAAGCGCGGCTGCGATTTACTGCGCACTTCGGAGGGGCCGCGAAAGGCGGCAGAGGTGCCAGCGGCATCAGCATCAGTCAAGAGTGAAGCCAAGCAAGAGGTGAATACCGAGATGGGTTTACAGCGTCCTTCCAAGGGGCAGCGCAAGGCGGCGAAGGCGAAAGTGGATTCAGAGGTGGGAGCAGCAGCAGCAGTTCGAAGCAACGCGGAAGGTGAACCAGAGACGGGGCCTGATCACGGAGCTGCACCTGCGAAAAGGAGCTCGAGTACATGGCCCCGATCACCAAGGCTGCGTCCGCGGCGATCCCCCCTCCGACGGGCGACGCGGACATGCTGCCACAAGGGCGAGGCCGCGACGCCGAAAATATTGCAGATGTGGGAAGACTACGAGCTTTCCGACATCACTGCTTCTGCCCGTGCAAGAGCCGCGCAACCAGAGGGCCTCCTCCTGCCAATGATCTACGCGACGCCGACGCTGCCCTGATTGACCGCCTCCGTGCCACGTTGGAGAATTGGCGCGAGCTGAGCCTGAACGTTGAGGTGTACCACGCTCTCCTCGCCGTTGCCCTGAACGCGGCGGAGATCATCCCCCGGCGACCGGAGAATGCGATGCTCACCGCCCGCCTGTTGCACTTAACTGTGATCGGCGCCACGCGCGCCCGCGACACTGGGGCGCATTCCTACCGCCACGGCCGATGGTCCAGGCGCGAGGGGTTCAGTGAGAAGACTTTGCGCGGCATGGAGGAAGTGCTGCAACTTGCTTCTGCGTTGTTTCGGCATCTTCGTGGGGACCAAGTCCAACGCAGCTGGGACTCGAGGTTCGGTTCCTGGGAACTCATCCATGGAGAATTTCTGCAGCAGCAGCCGACGACGCGGCGTGACTTCTCGATCGGCAGGGATGCCAAGGAGGTTTGGGCTGCCGAAGCCGGGAGAGTGCTCCAGGAGATGGGTGCGCGAATCAATGGAGAAGGAAGAGGCGCCGAACTTCTGGACGCATTCGGCGCTCATTTCGAGAACGTCACCCTGACGCTCGCGGAAGACCCCGACGGGGGCACTCGCGTCGGCCAGATCCCCAGATCGACAGATAGCAATTGCTACACGGCAATGCCTATGTGATTTGCCCCCATCCGTCCCAGACTGGGCCGTTGACGAACTGAAGTTCTCGGCTACAACGCTCGCAGGTTGCCCCGAGGCTCGGATGCTAGATATGGCGGTGGAGGCGCTGGTCATGCACAACGTGGACATGCCCCACGTTCAACTTCTTCTCATCACTGGTACGGGAACGCCAAGTAAGCGAGCACGCTTCCTCGGGGGAACGCGCGGGGCCCCATGCAAAGGGCGACGTCTCACTGACGTTTCCGATGCTAAAGGAACTCCGGAAGCAAGGCTGCCAATTCGCCCGCGCGAAGCTGATCACTGCACAGGAGTCCTCGCCTGGCGTTCCTCCAGCGGAGGACGCGTGGAAGCGCTTCGTCGCGAGCGGTTCCCTTGCGCGCCGACCCCTGTTCGGAAAGACCACTGCGTCTTACCGCTGGCTGACGTGCGCCAAAATCTGGGCGGTTAACAAGGTGTTCTGGAAGATCCACGGCAGTCATCATAACATGCAGTCATTGAACAGTTTTCGGCGACGCCTCCGCGCATTCCAGCTGGCGGGCTCATTCGAGAGGAAGATATTCCCAGAAGATAGCGACCTCTCGAGCCTCCTCCAGGGGGCTATGCAAGAATTGCGCGCGTCAGATATTTCCTGGCGCCGTTCATCCAGCGCTTCACCGCAGCAGATTGCAGGGCGATGCTTCTCAATCCACCCGGCAAGGCCATGGAGTTCACCAAGAGGGTCGCGGCCCAGATGGCGAACGACGGGTTGGAGTTGCCTGACAGCTACAGGCCGGAGGCCGACATGATGCAGGAAGTTGGCGCTGCCCGAGATCTTGTTATCCGTGTTCGTCGAGCTTCGACTGGCCGTCACATTAAGCCGCATGAGCTTCCGAAACTCAAGGTGGATTTGCCAATACCTGGCGCATGGCGCACGCCCGCGAAATCCATATCTAAATCTGATGTTTTGGGGCGGCAGCCAGGTTGTGGCCCTAACAGATCAACCCAGATACGATTACGTCCGCGGGACGAGCTTCAAGCATGCGTTCGCATGGAAGGTTGATGATCGATTACGACAAGCTGGCGGGCATCCTGGATAAACACAACGGTGGATAATTGGGTGGATCATCCAAGGAATGGGGCACGCTATCGGAAAACCGCGAAGCATTCATGTCGACGATGATCGACAATATCATGGATTTCGAAATCGGCATGATTCACGAGGGCGAGTACTCGAAGCACACGTGCGGCCATCTCGCCGAGACTGTCAAGATGATAAGTCCGCGGGAGCACATCGCCCAGGGCACAGACCGCAAGGTTGACGTGGCGCAGCGTTTCTGCAAGTTCCTCGGCAAGGCAGCCGATCTGGTGATTATGTTACGATACAAGTTGACTATCAGCGACGACATGGCATGCCTGGGCGGCGGTGCGCTAATTGTCCAAACGCACAGCAGCTGTCACGAGCTGCTCGCAGGGCTGCGTTTCAGCATGACCCTGCGGACTCGGTGGGCGCTGGCCTCGTCCACGTGGACGCTGACACTGCCAGCTGTTTCCCGACGCTGCTCTGGAAAGAACTCCCCGAGCGCACAGGGGCAATTGCGCAGGCTGGCTTCGACGTGTTGCACGCGTTCGTTTGTCATTACAAGGCGTGGCGAGCCGTGTTGGTGGGGTACCTGGACACCCCGCTGAAGGCGGCCAAGAATAATCTGATTGCTATACTGCATCTGGGCACCCCCAAGAACGATTTGCCGTTTCTCTCGGCTTTGTCAGCACACATGAAACAGGCTGTCGACATCGCGTTGGGGGTCTCAAGTTCAAGTAGTTGAACGGCACGTTTGCGTCAAGACGCCATCCCGCTGCGGCGCGCCAACGTTTCGCTCTGGCGAGCGAAGGGGGCTCGATCCTTCAGCGGGCGGGGTCTTCCATCTTGTCCGACATAGGGGGCGCCTCCGTCATGGCGCACATGTTCGATGGAGCAGTCCTTCGCGCCCCCCAGGATTCGTCGGGCGCCGCGCGCGCCAGCCTTTGCCGCGCTGGCCAACGCGCGGGAGCGTCGCTCTCGATTGACGTTCCACTCTCTAGATGCGGAGGGCGGCGCAGGAAGCAACTCTACCCCAAGCAACGCATCGGGGGCATCCCAGTTCAATGACATATGCCTTTCAATCTGCTTTCGGAACTATGGATTTCCTGCTGAAGCGTGCAGGAGCGGTCCTTTCTGGATTCTGAAGGACGAGGGGGGCCGATCGAATGGCGATATCTATGTTTTCGGTAGCGGTAGGGGGAGGAGTGACATGAAAGGACCCGTCTCCGTTCATTGAAAGGTTCTCGCACGCGCGCGCGCTCGTGAGCGCGCGTGTTTCGTGGCGCCCGACAGGGTGGGAACTGCATGTTGAAGCCCTTCGGCCACGCCGCCACCCCTGTCCTGAGGCGCCAGTTGCGCAAAGACGGGCGCGACATCAGCCACGAGAACAATCACTTCTACAGCGTCGAGGTGCACTGCGGGGGGCAGGTGTGCGCCATGACCGAGGGTGCTTCTCAAGCTTCCCTATCCAAAGCAAGCTGCGAGAGACCCCAGTGCAATCGCTTGGCGAGTGCATGCAAGCCGGTGGCGATTGCAGACGCGGCGTTTCACCACGCGGGATGGGCGCCGCCACGGCTGGCCTCCATGGACGCGATGGGCGGGGGGCAGTTCGACGCGAACGCGGGTCTGCACGATGCCGCGGCGCGCGCGCGACGAGCTGCGCGCGCCTGCCGAGTCCTCGACAGCCCTGCCCTGGGGAACCCTGGGGAACCAGCTATCGAGGCGCGCGCGCTTCAGCAACGCCCGCAGGTCACACGGCACCCTCGCGGATCAAGAGCTCGCGCTTGCATCAGAGGAAGCAGCTTCCCGCAGTTGCAGCGACTCTGTGTTCATCCACACGTGCGTTGCCAAGACACTTCGTGACAATGGTTTCGCAGTAGCCGCTCCGCGGTGCGGCCCGCTGTGGATCATCCAGGACAGAGTTCTGACGCCAACGCCCCGTCGAGCTCGCAGCGGCCCCGCGGGGTGCCGCGGGCGTTCCTGGATTCCTCGGGAACGCGCGCGGCGCCTCGGTCGCCGCTGCTCGCGCGACGGAGCGCCTGCGTTGGACCTCCGGGACGGCCGCGACATGCCCCGCCCTTTCGGCTTCCAGGTGGAGCGCTGCTCGCCGTCGCGCGTGCGCGGCGGCGGCCTCTTCGCCGCGGGCGACGGCGACGGCCGCGCGCACGCGCTGCGCGTCGGCGGGCACGCGGTCGTCAGCTCCCACGGCGGCGGGGCGGAGCTAATCTCGACATCAGTAGCTGAGAACATCATGGAGGGCGCGGCTTCTGGGCCACGGAAGATTTACATCGCACTCGAGGTCGGCCAAGACCCGCTCCATCCACCATCGCTGAGCGGATCAGGCGATTCCTCGCGCGGCGCTAAAACCGCTGCAAAGAGACCCGCGGCGGCCAAACCGACTGTCCAAAAGGAGCGCGCCAAGACCCGCCGAGAGGGCGGAAAGGCGAGTCGGTGGCCTGCGGGATTGGAGTCGGCAGCGCGCAAGGAGGTGATGCATGAGCGGGACGCTAGCGGTTGCATGGAGGACCACCAGGAATTCGGCTCGGCGCACCACTGGAGATGCCCCACGTGCGTCGCCAGAGAGTTCAAGGAGAAACGGAAGCTGCTCACGCATATCAACAAGTACCACGTCAAGGGCGGGCGCGGTGTTCTTTCGACGAAATTACAATACTCTGCTTGCGACCAGTGGAACCAGACTGCACTCAGTGCCCGCTTTAATGAGCTGCGCGGCCGCAATGGTAATCTCACAGCGGGGAACTTGGTGAACAGCTACGCAGTCGGCATCCGAGTTCAATAAGAGGAGAGCCCATCGTGGGAGCAGATGGATGCCCAATTGACACGCTACTGCTAGCGCTTGGACAAAGCAATTACAGTCCAGTTGGATCCGACGCGCGCGAAGTACATTCGAACGGTCGGCTGCGCCAAGCACCATCAGGTATCCGACAAGTTCCGTTGCACCGGCGCTTTCTTGAACGCCTACCTCGCCGCCATTGTGCATCCGACGGCGACGAGGGCAATGGAGCGGGCGATTGCGTTTCTCAGGGCCCAATCTGGGCACCAATCGCACTTGCTTCCGACGGGCCGCGCATTTTATCACACTCTGAACGAGAAGATAGCAGGGCACTTGTGCATTCGGCGCGCTGTGGATCGCTGCCGCGCCGAATGTTACGGTCGAGTCTTGGGCGTGGACCGATTCTACAAGTCCTTGATGTCTGCGTTGCACCGACTACCTCACGGGCAGAAACGAGACGGCGCAGCAGAGCGCGGCCGCGATCCATTGCGAGTGCTCATCACCGTCCAATGCCTCAACAGCAGTTTATTCTCTTACCAACAAAAAACGGTGCCAGCTCGGAAGACCCAGCGCATCAGGTGCGAGCTCTTCGAGATGCTGCTCGCGGGGAGGGTGCTGATCAAGTGGAGATGGTGTGTTCGGATTACCCCGTGTCGCTGGACCACTGCGTGCGACTGCGAAACGCATATCCGACTTTGAAATGCGCCAGCAAAGACTTGCTACACATTGCCCTCAAAGTCGCGCAGGCAACAAACGAGAAGACACCTGTGTTCTCTTCCAGCATCCGCTGGTGCCTAGCGAAGTTGCGCTTGGGTGTTTCTGTTAGGAGCCGATACTATGAAAGCATCTCTGGCCGCAACGGGCCGTCTGAAAGTACCGCGAAGATTGCGGATATGAGCGAGTCGGTCGCGCGCCGCCTGTACAAGCGCATCCAAAGCGACAGCTGTGGAGAAACCATACGACTCCATGTCAGATTTCGTAGATGATTTGGCTGCCATCTGCGCAAAGCATCCAGATGCGACGCGCCAAAGTGCAGGTGAGAAAGCAACAATGCTGAGCAGCCTCGAGCACGCTACTACTGTACAGGAGTTGGGG